GTAGACCTTGTGGAAGCTGTTGCTCAAATTGGAAGCAGTAGGAAGAATGAAAAAAAAAAAAATAGGCTCCTTTGAGCATGTGCTTTGTAAACAAGCAATGAAGAGGACAACATTTACCATTAAAAAAGCAGTAGCTGGTGGAGCTGATAATATTCCTTTGAGTAATGAAGAAAATGTGCTTCTTGCCTCATGGTGTTGCTTTCCTCACAGCTCCTGGCATTGAAGGTGCAGGTGGTTTTTCAAGGAAGGGTGAGCTGCATGGTGTGATGAGAAATGGACTGTCTTTATCTTTTAATGGACTTTACTTAAAATGAACTTCACTTTTGAAAGTACTTTGATATTCAGCATTAGTTCTCTATGCTGTGCTGGTAACAACTTAGCTGAGGTTCTTGGGTAACTATCTAGCATTTGATATGATGGGGTTCTTGGTTTTAAAACTCTGAGGTAGAAAGTACTGCAAAGGAAAGGAATTGTGAAGAGAAATCTAATGCAAACCCCACTTAGGGCGTTCTTTCTGCAGGAAAGAATAGCTCAACCATTTGCGAAAGCTAAAGCCATGACTTGGCTTCACACAGCTAAGCAGGTGGTAATTGTTCCTTGCCTTGCAAGTGCAGACTTGCTTATAAAGGTAGTCATTTGTTTCCAAGACAGCTCATTTCTAAGGCTTTCTTCAGTTGTTTAGCATCTAAATTCATGTTTATGGATTAAAGCCGCAAAATAAGGAGACTGAAAAGGCAAATAATTTGGATTAAGTCTGAATAGTCCTGGAAGCATTCTGTTCTTGTACCACTCCTGAATGTCACACCTACAATGTGACCTACAGTGGCAAATTACATGCTGTCTTTGTGTGTAATCAAGTTGTGTAGTTGTAGACTTCTCCAGTTCCTTTCTAGGGCAAGAGGTTCTCTGGTGTATGCTTTATGCTTAGTGATCAGCTGTACAGTCTGAAGGTGCAGGCTAGCAGGTGATGGCTTGCTTTGACCACTGACTTCCTGTCCTTTACATCAGTCAGGGTGGACACTACTGAACTGTGGTAAAGAAAATCACAGAGCGAAGAGTCAATCCATCCTCAGTGAAAGGCATCTTCAGCACAGGTTTATGCTTTATTGGTCCGACTTTCTATCTGTTCCACGCTTTGTATAGTTTTAGGCCTCTGACTTTAGAATGGACAGTTTTATACAATGTCAATTCAGAGCATACAAATATCTTGAGAGCAGCTGTTGAGGATGGGAGCAGACTCAATTCAGTGGTACCCAGCAACAGGACAAGGGACAACAGGCACAAACTGAAACATAGGACATTCTACCTGAGTATGAGAAAAAACACTTGTTTACTTTGAGGGTGGGAGAGCACTGAAACAGGTAGCCCAGAGAGGCTGTGTAGTCTCCTGCTCTGGAGACACCCAAAACCCACCCAGACACGATCCTGTGCAACCTGCTGCAGGAGAACCTACTTGAGCAGGGAGGTTGGACTAGATGATCTTTGGAGGTCCCTTTTCACACCAATCCTTCTATGATTTCCAGACATAAAGGGTGATGATGGTCACCTTTCAGCAAAGACCCATATGGTGTGGAAATAATTCTAAATCCGTGGTGTTGTAAACTGACAGATCTTCAGAAGAGAGGGGTCCTTCTGTGTGGGGCAAATTTCAGTAGAAGTGTGGGGACTCATGGGTGTAGTGACCAAGGGAGATGAATGACCTTGCCTAATGCCCTTCTCATTTCACCTTTGCTTTAGCTCTCTAGCTTCTCTCACATTTAATTCCATGTCCTTCTTCTCATTTCACCTTTGCTTTAGCTCTCTAGCTTCTCTCACATTTAATTCATTGCCTGTCCTGTCTTACATTCAGGAGTTGCTACAGCCCAGTTAGATGAGGCAGAAGAGCCCATTTAGCAGGACACTTTCTCATTCTTTTCTCTTGCAAAGGCTAACATTTTTGGTCGTATTTCAAACTGGCCACCTCTGGACCATGCTAGTCAAAAATAAATGCATTTACTTTTAACTAATTTGAATTTCTGCAGTTTGTCCTTACCTTTCAGATTGTATTGATTTTATGATTCATACATTAGTAGATTTTTCCCCCCAGAAGATGACCTATCAAACTTTCCAGTAGTTGTGACTTGGTGCCATAACTTAGCCCCTTCCCCCCTGAGTATGAGATAAGGCCACAGCAGAGGGCAGTGATGCTGGCTCAGCTGCAGTGGACGTGGTGCCAGCGCACTCTTCAGCCCTTGTCTGTCCTGGGCAGAGCACTGGTCATGGCCATGCTTTTGCAGACCCATTATGACTCTGCCTTCAGTTCTCCTTAGCCATTAGCAGGGGCTGGAAACTGATGGCAATAGGAGTGAAGTACTGGCTTGTTCAGAAACCATGGGAAACTAACTATATTACCTTCTCTTCCCAGAAACTTTTAATGAAGTAGCAGATAGAAGACAGTTCTTCATATTTTTAAATTACTATAAAATACCCCAAGATTCCAGTGAGAAGCAGGCATGATCTCTACTGTCCAGATAGTTACCCAGCTTGAGCTACCACTGTTTGCCCTGTGAAGTACTTACCTCAACATACATAACTCAGAAATTTAGAAAGGCCAGTAGTGATAAAACCAGGGAAGCTATTGAAAAGTGAAGTGAGAGGAGGGCACAGTTCTATTACCAGTGCCAGGGGCAGTCTTGGCTGCAGCTATGCCTTCATTTTATAAATAAAATGCAAGTCCAGCACATCGGACAAATACCAGATTTTACCGAATAACTGCATCAAGGTACTCATTGACATAGACAAAGCTGCACTGACACTGAACAGACATAAATAACTGCATCAAGGTACTCATTTACAGGGAGCACATAGACAAAGCTGCACTGACACTGAACAGACATCTATCCTGACCAGGATCTTATCCCTAAAATTGATCAAAAGTGGGATGCTGAAGAGCAACTGTAAGAGTAGAGTAAGCATGTATTGATTATTTCTTTCCAAAACAGACTCTGATAGTATAAAACAGCATTTAGCTCAGGGCTGCACTGAGCCAGATGCAGTCTTTTCTAAAAAGACAAGACATGGAGATGCAGGTACCAAATGGGCACTTAAAGAGCTGGGAATTTTAAAAGAATCTGCATTAGCAACCTCAATGCTCTTAACTCTCCCAAATGGAATGATCTTCTGTCAGCATATGCTGTGAATCTTTGACCTGTAACAATCTTTTTTTAGATGCTGTTTAAAAACCCTCACAGATAATGCATTTTTAAATAATTTTCTGGGGGAAATAATTTTATTATCGGTCCTGTTGTGAAATTGAATGCTACATGCTGTACAAACTGTTTTATCTCAAAAGAAAAAATAACAATTGCAGTGATACACACTACAACCTCCAGTCCTTCAATTCTGAGACTGAAACTTACTGTTTGTACAATCAGAGATTTCATAGTGCTCAACTGCTAGCATTGCAAAACATAACTTGCGTGAAACTACTTTTTATTAAGGAGACATTTTTAGTGCATCACCAATGAGTTAAACGTATAGTGTAAAAATTAGATTAATTTGGAAACTGGAAGCCAAAACCCAATTTTGTTTCCTAGAGGAATGACATGACATGGAGATCTGGGATTAATTCAGTCCTATAATCCATGTGAAGTCTTCCATTACTTCCCTACTGCAGAATCAGCCATTTATAGGGTTGTTATAAATTGCTTAATTAGGTGTCTGTCTTTTAACATTGCCAAATTGGTTTTGTAATTGTATGTATATAGTTGGTTTTTTGGACTATGTTTAGCATTAATACTTTATGTTGCTTCACACAACCTCATACTTGCATTTTAAAGAAGGGACTGATTAACAGAAGATGAAACAATAATGGAAATTTCAATTTGTCTTTCTCTGCTTTTTCACATTTGTTGATAGTCCTGCTTCTCATTTCTTTGTAATCCTTGCTCTCCTCAATATAAACGCTTTGCATCTTCATTTTTTCCTTTAAACAAACAGAATGTTTAATTGCACAGATTTAAGGTGCTCCCCCTCATATAAACCCTTTTCCTGAGCTAAGTTCTCAATTAATTTGCCCATGGGCTGGTGTGCACAAAGAAAGCTTTCCAATAGTTATGGGCTTTTGCAAGCGTAACTAACTTGACCTTCAAGACACTCTCCTGACTTTCCTGAAAAAGAAGAAATTGCTGCTGCTGGGAATACCTTTTTCCCCACTGTATTTGCATCTCCACATCTGTGTCAGAAAGCGACCAGACTTCCTTAGACCCTTGAGCTGAGACCCTTGAGCACAGCTGTGCTCTCTCCTCCTGGCTGTCCACCCTTCTCAATCCCATGCACAGGCCTTAGTGATACCATGCCTAACATCTTCCCACCACATCACACAAATGGAAAAGTCACATGAGTAGGTTTTGATTTGTCATCACCTGGGGACCAAGGCAGCGCTTCTGCCAACTTACCTTTCTGGGTGATTATTGTACATAAGTAGATGACAAGCCTGCTTCTATGCAATTTAAAGCTAGACAAGTGTATACTTCTATATTTGCAACACAAAATAAAGAGACACTAATGGTGGATATTTGTTTCCCTCTCTTATAAGTACTCTTTGCACACTCTCTGTGGTAAGAATACACTCTCTCTTGCTGAGAAGTGCTGCCAGTCCTAGAGAGTTGAATGCTTCTTCCCCATGTCCACACAAAACTGCCCAGGGAAACAATTTAGTGCTCCGAGTCCGACAAGTGCCTCTTGGTGCATTTTTTTTTTTAATAAGCTGTAGGCTATTCACTGAGATTTCTGAGAGAGATCTTACCTTGAAGGAAGCTGACAAGCTTTGTGTGAATCAGGTTCAAAAGGTAACACCAACAGGTTTTGGAACCCAGTTCCACCATTTGGCTTCTGGTTTTGCTTTAGGAAGTACCACACGGTAAAGACTAAAAGCAGTGAAACATAACTGGTTTTCTCCCTTTCCTAATGAAATTCTTGAAGAAAAGATATTATTCTCACATGACCAATTCACAGATGTCTTTTTTTCCTTCATTCTGATTTATTTAGTAGCATACACACTTCAGAGTAACAAACACTCATCCAATACAGTCAATGTCAGCATTGCATTGTAGTGTTCAGAACGGATGCATGTGGATGATACAGGCCATTTGATCTCAGTACCTTAAGAATAACAAATAATAACAACAGCAATAAAAAAGTAGCAAAAGCCCTCTGAGATACATTGAAGTCTTTCCCTTTAACTGGAACTGGATCAGACCTTAAGTGAATACCTCCCTGTACAAAATTTAGAGGGATTTAGGTTTTACCACTTCGGTTAAATTTTAGCCGAATGTATATCTCTGTGAGGCCTCAACATCCCTAATTTTTAAACTTATCTGATCTATCTCTGTGAATTTTTTCTATATTGCACCTTCCTCCAAAGAATCTCACAGCAGCTTGCAGGCACTAATGAAGGAGAGCCTCACACCATTGCCACGGGGTAAGTAGGTCTATTCCCATCTGTAAAATTGGAACAAAACTATGCCTAGGAGAGTTGTCCAAGGCCAAAAAAACCCCAAGTCAATGATGAAACTGAGGGAGAGAAGTCATAGCCCTATTTCTTAGTCCTACAGTCCTACTTCCCTAGTCCTACAGGAATGCAGCAGCTACAGCACTGCTGCATTTAACTAGTGAGTTTAAGGACCTTGGAGCCCAAGTCAGAGGTCATCTGCCCAGCACCAAAATGCCCCTAGGCCAGCATCTCTGACCCTGCTGTGGAACCACATGTGATTCCTCCAGAGTGAGGCACTATCTCAGCAGATGCATTAATGAACGACATTCTGGACTTGCATGTGAACAAACTCCTTGGTTACCAAGCATCAGCTGCCCCTGTGTTACATGCCTGTGCATGTGCACCATGTTCACCCTCTGGTAAATAAAAGCTTATTCAACACAACTTACCCCATAGTGAAAGAAGGCCATGCTGCTTCCTCACTCTAGCAAGTGAGTGTCCATAGACTGGTGCTCTGGGCCACCTGATGAGAAACAAGGAACCTACAACTTACCATGGGGCAGTTTGCTCCTGAGCATACAGCCTCAACTCCAGTGCTCAGCTGAAGTCCTACACTTGCAGTTTGCTATGAAAAGTTACAGCCTCAACTCCTTAGAGCTCCAGTGCTCAGCTGAACTCCTACACTTGCAGTTTGCTATGAAAAGCTGCCTCCTTCTCTCCTTCCCCATAACAGCAACAGATGATTGTGATTTCTTTCTTTCTAATCCCCTAGCAAGACAAAGATCCATTTCAAAACTAACTTCCTAGAACTTACATTCTAGATGTAGAATGAGTTTTCAGATCAGTGTCTGCTATAGCTGAAATTTTCCTTTTCCCTGACCTTTCCAGCTGCTGCAGTGGAACAGACCTTCTCCATGTTTTCTCCCAGGACCATGTACTGCAAAACCAGCCAGGTGCTACCAGGAGTTGTTTTCTCCTTTAGAACTGGGTAGTCATTCTAAAAGTGTGTCTTAAACTCTCTACTGACATTTAAGCACCAACCTCTACTGTTTAGGTCTCCCCTTCAGAAATAAGGTTACATTGGTGCAAAAGATCCACACGTGGTAACAGAAGAAAGAAATTTAATTCTGAAGATTAATTAGGCAAACCACTAATTAAATTCTGTATTTATCTGATTTCTAACTTTAATAATTCTTTTTAGTTATAGTAGGACAGCTTGCAATTGCAGTCTCATAAAAAAGACAATGTCATTGAAGTCCTGTCTGTGAGACCTATTTACATGCTATTGTCCTTAGGCATTGCTATTCTCCTTAGGCACAGCTATCCATGGTTTACCTGCTGGCTGCAGAAAAGGAGAAATACCTTTTTTTAACTATATGGAATTCACTACAAATTCATTTGTCATCTCACTGCAGTTCAAAAGTTAGGAGGCATCTGGAATGATTTTATCTGTGCTGTCACTTCAAAAAAACCTAATGTAAACACTCTGAAATTTCTAAGTGAAAAATTCGTTAACATACTACCATAAATATAAAACAGGGAAACTCTGGGATTTGTCTGAATTGTCTGAATTTGCAGTGAACTGCAAAAATAATTACCAGTTTCAGACAACTTCTGGTTCAAGATGAAATATTTCCATGTGTCATTACTTCCTACAGAATACCTACTCTATGTCATCTAACTTTTACACCACAACTGAGTTACAATTTTCAACACTCCTGTTTTGTTTAGAGTTTATGAAAAAGTAATTAAATCTGACTGATCTTTCAGTACGCAACACACTTCAGTGTTACCCAAAGTAACTCCTTTTAGAAACTATTTAAGGCTGTCCAACTTTAACTACAAATATTGCAGACTTCATTCCAGATATGGACTCTATAGGGGTTTTTTTTTGCTTATGATTCCAACTATTATTGAAATAGTAGTTTCCCACAAGTGCAGTCACCTTCATCCAAAGTTCTCAGACTATTTCCTGAACACAGGAAACCAGCAAAAGACAGGAATTTCTGATCAACATGCATTACTACCTCTAGATGTTGAAAGGGCTTTAACCATCAACTGGTAATGACACTCTTACCTGCATTGTGAAAATCACCACATTATTCATGTTAAAACCTGGCACGTGAGTCAACATGTGATTAATGATAGTATCTATATCGCCAGCACATAAAAAATTGTTCCAGTGACTAGAAGCAACCAACAGAGAAGGTATGTAAAACCATTGCAAGAAAACAATTCAATCTTTCTTGATTTTAACCTAGAAACTGAATTTTCTGTGGCTGTGCTTGGGTCACAGCAAAATAATGAAGCACAGATCACCCTGTGATGCCAGATGGGGACTATAGGATGTAATATGTTGATATTCCTTCACCCAAACTGCATGTAGTTAACAGCTGATACCTTGGAGGAAGGATGCCTGGGAATTATCTCGTCATTGTGTAATGCTGTGAATGCAGAAACACCACCTCCCTGATTGCTGTGCCACTTTATATGTGTAAGTGGCAGCATCATATTTGAGAACGGGGACATGGCCAAGAAGCCACGTGCATTTTCAGACAGTCAAATCACGATCTTAAGAGATCACGCTGGCTGCTGACTACTAGTGTGTGCATGTGTATAGGGGTTTTATCTTCAAAAATAAACAAGCCTTGGAAGAAAAAACTTAGTTCCCTGACTAGTTTGTGAAAGATCATTAGTGATTTTCAGAGCTGCAGTTCAGCTGTAACAGGCCTAACTCTCCAACTTAGCAACATATCCAACAGCCCACTCAGCTGGAAAGTCAAATGTTTTTGGAGACTATAGGCCGCTATTCTCTCCCTAGAGTATTTGTAATCTCCTGAGCGGCTACAGAAAAAGCCAAGGCCTTTCTTGGATACAGGCAATCCTAGGGTAGGGAAGGGGAGAAATGGTCAACAGCAGTTAGCCACATCAAGCCACTATAAACTGCTGTCTCTCTTTGCTCCCAGTTTCTTGTGATTATCACCCATTTGCACCTTGCTCGCTCTGTAACATAATGCAGCAGAAGTTGTTGGTCCAACCTATAGTGTACACAAGAGCAAAAGGACTTGGAATTAGAGAGGAAAAAACACAGTCTGTTTCCAAAACTATGCAGTTCCCTGAAAGATCGTTTTTCCTGCCCTGAGTTCCCAAGCATTTGTCCTGGTTCTCTAGGAAGCAATTTGGAGTCCCATTTTGCCAGAAACCATAATCATTCTGGCTTACCACACAGACCTCTTGACTCATGCTGGTGTGATTCCCGAGTATGGAGATCTTCATTCTCTGAGGACAGTCTCAAGTTCATCTGGTGCAACACAGACCAATCTGGAGTAATTCATTTAAGTTCATAGAGGGCTGATGCAAAGTAACTTTGATCACTGACTGCTGGGTTCTGCAGCTCCCTCTGCACTGACAACCTCAGGAGTTTGGAGTTAAAGGTTTCCTTCTAACTGAGTTTCCTTCTACTTCAGTAAAGCAGAAAGTTACAGAGAAGCCCTGCAAGTTTTGTGCCTTTCTCAACTCATCTTTCAGTGATGCTTTCCAAAATGCCAATCAAATTGTCCAATCCCAACAAGTACCCATCCTCCCTGTTGCCTTCTTGCCAGGGGATCCTGTGATCCAGTGTCTGCCCATCAGGAAGAAGGGTGGTCTTTCCAAAATCGATCAGCCACACATTGGCATTCCCACTGCCATCATGTACAAAAAGTAGTGAACTTCCTACTACCTGGAAGACAGATTGAGACAACGTAGTTAAAAATACATCTTCAGCCCTCCCCCACCTTAACACTTCCTGCTAAGAAGATGATCTCTTTAGCTCACCTGTGACCCAACAGACTTTTGGGCTGCACTTACAAATTGATGATTTAGATGCCCCATTTGCATAACTGTATCAATCAGTAAGGTACAAATGGGAGGGTAGATAAGAAATGGGACTCAGTAGAAAACAGGAAGAAAAGCAATTCTTCATCTTACTTAGCATCATGTCTCATTTTGAGCAATTCAGCAAAGGCCAGTAACTCCTTTCAAAGACAGATCATGACCCATGATTAACAAAAACATCTCTACTGATAAGAGAGCATCAACAAGGTAAAATAAAATGTCTAATCTCAAAATCTTGAGCTGTTAACAAGCAGAAATTACAATGCTAATGATGCCTTCTGCACAACAAAGCACATAGAGAACACAGACAGCAGAATGAGATGGCATTTCAACATAAATCCATTCTAAGTAATACAGCCCTCATTGTCAAACTACAACTGAATGCTACTGTACCAAATGCAAACTTCCATGATGCCATTCCCCTGTAAATATTCCCAGTGGAGCACATCCAGGTTAGAAAAAACATATGAAACTGGTACTAATAAACTATTCCATGCAGTGGCCCAGAGCTATACATTCTGGGATGTCATAAATTCCTCAGCTAGTTTAACCTCCTGTATCATCATAGTGGAGGCTTTGTGGTATCTGTGTTGTCAACATGTATTAGCTTTCTTCTACAAAACTCCTTCTACTCATACAGCAGGCTGTTCTGAAGTACACCTGGACGACCAAATGAAGAAGCAATGCACCTCCACAGCTTTACACTCACTGCTCACCTCATGTCGCTTGAAAAAGTCTGAGGATTCCAGAATGACATTAATTTCCTGCAGACGTTTGAGGTATTTTTTCTGGAAGAAGAAAAGAAAAAAAACCCAAAGCAACCCATAAACACTTAATTGAAAACTGAATAAAGATAAACTGTTTACAAGAGTCAATATAATAAGAGATCATATTCATTTTAGGCTAGAGGTCCTCCAAAATAACAGGTTCATCATTTGAAAGTCAATCTGAAAATACATTTCAAGCTTTCATAGTGAATTAACAGACTGGAGTTCATCTGGTGCATGTGTTACACCAGGCATATTTATCTGTCTTGATTTGGATGTCATCAGGCTTTCTGCAACTGTTTTTTGGTTTTTTTTAATAAAGAGAAAAAGTTTTCATGGAATTAAAAATCTTCCAGTTCCCCAAAGTGAAAAGAAAGAAATTGTGTTAGAGAAACAAGGAGCTCCAACCATGGTGGAGGCAGAGGGGGGATAAGAAGAATCAAGGCCTAATGTACAAAGCTCCAGTGCAGATTTTTAAGGCTACCCTGAGCTACCAAGCACGCTCCTCTTGAAGGGCTAATCTGCCTTCATAATGGCTTCCACACTGCAGCAAAACATTACAGCATACTTTGAAGTTCCAAAGTCAAGAGATGTGTTATGCCATCTACCACATGCCTGTTGTGCTACCCATGGATTAGCACACAGGAATTCCTCTTTGAGATGAGTTTCACACATGGGAACACAGCTAGTCACCAATCTCACTTCCTGCCTCCACACTCTGGTTTTATCCTCTCCAGCCTGAATTCCCAAATCACAAGTTTTCCTGCCAACACAATCCTTGCTTAGATATCACCCATCTAATGCATCTAACACCCATGATTGAAGCTGGTGGCAAGCCATAAGTTAGATAATTTGAATGACATTTTCATAGCATGAGGCATTTGGGGTCAACTAATGGCAAGAGCCGATACAACTGGTTTCAGTCAACTTCTCACAACCCACCAAGTCCCCATGTCCACCCCATCTCCTGAGAGCAACTGGAAGTCAAAACCACTTACCCCCTTGGTGTTCCTATTTCCTATATCAAAGAATGGCTCTGAAGCAAGAGCATTGGTCCAAGATCAGCACACCTGAAGAGCTCAGACTCACCAGAATAGTTGTGTTGCCCTCAATGAATTCCGCAAAAACCTGTAGAACTTGCTCCTGTGTCTTCGTTGTTTTGAAGTTTGTGTTACATGTTCCATCCGCCTTCTGCACAGAACCGCACAGAGAGAGAGAGAGATTATTTATACTGCACTCATATCATTCCCCTCATCACTCAATCCTCTTGAACCAGCAACAGCTCAGCCCTTGCTAACCAGATGAAAGTAAGTAGCTGAACAGGAAGAGAAACCAAGCAAGAAGAAGAGAAGAGAAGAGATACAAAAGCTGATTGGATAGCTTTAAATGGCACTGGCAGTTCATTTCCTGTTGAGTACAAGAAAAAAAAAAAGAAACAAAAATTATATTACCAGCTTGCGGAGGGTTTTTTCACATCAGTGCTAGCAGTGCAAAGTTCAGTGGGGCAAACCACAGAGACCTCTTTGGTTGTACTCTTGTCTGGCTAGTGAAACCCTGGCTGAGGGTGTGAGGGAACATTTCCAAAACCAATTTTACTAGTCCTTTTAGTTTGGGGGTTTTTTTTTGGGTTTTGGTGTGAATTTTTGTTTTTATTTGGCTTTTCTGTTGGTGGTGGTGGTGGTTTTGGTTGTTTCTGTTTTTCAATGGGAAATCAAAGAATTGCAGATAGGATTCCGTTCTAAATATACCTTTGAACACATAATGTGACCCAGAAGTCACAAAACAGAAATCTGTTGCAGACAGGAACAACCTGGGATTTGCAATGCTAGCAGTGACAAAGCAGGTGAGTGAATTTTGGCAAAGGACAGTGCAGGCATGCTTGTTCCAAGTGTGTCCTGGAGAAATTCAGAGTATTTTAAGCAGTAAGATTCAGTACAGAAGCATACTGCTACTGAAAAAAAAGAGTATTTTTTATGTGCTTTTGGAGCTATAAGCAAATAAGAGCATGAATTGGAGGTATTTGTAAACAGAATATATGAATGTGCATGTCTCCTAGAGCGTCCCTGTTGCTTCAAGAGACACAAATAGATTTTAGGATATGTGCACAGCAATTATTACAATAGGTAACAAAAATCCACTAAAAGCCTGCAGGAGTATCAAATTGTTTTCCTCTCCACTGTTTAAGTCTGATCCCTCATTTTCATTGAGTAAATCAGCAGGTCAATAAAATATGTTGCCTCCTACAAGTTAAGTCACAGCACCAAAATGACAAATTCACTCAGGAGGTGAAACACTATTTATTCCACAGTTGAACTTCGTTTCTAACGTATAAATGAAAAAAATTCAATCATGCTAAAACTCCAGATCTCTCATGCAAGAGAATTTTATTCCAAGGCTGTTGGACAGATACAAGTGCCGCATGTCAGCCTGATGAGACGTGCAAGTTATGCCAGAGCAGTTCAGCAGGTATGCAGTGAAAGTTAGAAGCCATCTAATCTGATGTGTGATAATACTCAACAGCACATAGAAATCTGAAACTTCATCTCGTACCTCTTCACTGGAGCAAGGTTGTTTTAAAAATAATTTCTCCCTATGCTGCAGATTGTAGAGCAATGTCTAGAATAGCTGCTTGGTGTTTGTTCCCTTTCTAACCTTTCATGTCTGGACAAACTAGTTGCTTACTTCCCTTTTTAACACTTATGATTTTGCTCCTTTCCAGTGGTTGGCAGGAAACATAATTACTGCCTGTCTTTACTTGCTGTAAAAACATCCAGAGTTTGAATGGCACCACCCCAGTATTCTAAACCTGGCCTCTACACGTACTTGATCCTCAGGAGGCACTTGCCTGACTCACTCCTTGAAGTCATACCTTTGCTAAGGACTCCACACACACTCCTGCACAGCAGAGTAGTCTGTCACACAGTGCAGCTTGTGGGCCAATTCTTATTAGATGTGACAGTGACATGGCTCACCAGAGGGCAAGTGTCACAGCTCCATAAAATAGTGCTATCCATCTTAAATCATGGGGTCTTGCTCAGAACTCTCTGCAGACTTCCCTTAAAGGGCTCTGGATTAACTTAATGGATTCACAAATATTTATGAATCAAATCTGATATCCTCCTGGGAACATGGCTATCCCTAATCTACAGCTAAAGGAATGGTACCAAAGAAAGAAGTAACTTTTCAAACTGCACAGATATTCACTGACAGAATGGGAAGACCGAAATCCCAACACTCAGCCCCAGGCATTAGCTTAGTATTATAGAGAAAATGTTTGCAATGCCTGTCCTTCAGACAGCCTCTGCCAGAGAGGAAATGTGCATTTGGAATCAGGCAGGCACAAGATACTGAGCAACAGGTTCCAACTGTAGGGAAACAAAATGGTTCAGAATATTTTTTATAGGAGCAAAATGACAAATCCCATAAATGAACTTGACTTGATTTCAGAGATCCAGAAGTGAGGCAAGGATAAGAAATGGATCAACCCAAAGATAACAGATATCCCATTACTGCAGGAGTGCATATGGTGAATCAGATCTCATTTACCAGCAGCCAGTTCACAGAAAGGCCTATGATTTCACTTTTTTTGCTTTTGCTTCTTATTCAAGCAGCCACGGGGCAGGAATGACCAAACCAAACATACCTCATCAGCTAACTCCAGGAGTTATCAGTCCAGTAAGGGAGAACATCCCCTTGTTCCCATCAACCACTAGCTGGCACCACTGACTTTTACAGGGTTTCTTACCAAAATGGGGATCCCTGCAGAATGGCTTTGCTTTTCTGCAAAAATACAGAACTGGATGTACAGTTCAGCTTCACTGGAAAAGTGTAGGGAGTACTGACTACCTGTATTGATTAACAATTCAGTTTCTGTCACCTTTTCTCCATGTAAAAAAAAAATTTTAAATGATACCTATATTCCTCATAACAGCATAGGGAGATAAAGGGAATGTGCTCCAAAGTACTTCCTGTACTTAGTCAAGGATTAAGTATTCTGTGCACAGTTACAGCAGTGTCTCCACAGAGGCAAACACTACACAATCTGTATTGCTTCTACCTCTAACAACCAACAAATCCACAAAGAACAATCCAGGGGGTTTTCCTGAAGCTCCTGTGTTCTCCTTTAGCTCAGTTACTCTCTGGGACTGTACATCTTCACTCACCAACTTTCTTTCCAAGAACACACATGAAAAGCCTCAAGATCATCTGGGTTTCTGATTCCATTACACAGAGGAGCATACAAAGACATAAATTGTACAGGAATAAAACAGGTATCTTGATAACATCATTAGCTGGCTAAAGAGCAAGACAGGATCCTGTGCCTTGGCTGGACTGGAGCCAGATCATCTACTCAGCTGCTACCCAGACAGCTCCTGCATGAGGATGCCTGTGTCCAGCAGCCAAGAGTGGGTGGCACAGCACACAAGGGCCAGCACCGCATGAGCTTGGAGCCCCAGTTCCAGTATCACAGCAGGAGGATCTGTGAATAAGGAAGGGAGAAGACACAAAGCGAAGGAGAAAAGAAAGAGATATTCAAAGAGCCTCTGTTCATCAGCATCACCATCTTTTATACCTTATTTCTATGTGCTTGAATTGTGAAATGGAAACAAAACTAATCCAGGTTCTGGAGTGGTGCAGTTGACACACCTGAAGGATGGGATGCCATCCAGAGGGACATAGGCAGGCTTGAAGATAGGCCCATGGGAATTCACGCAGTTCAAGTGCAAGGTGCTGCACATGGGTCAGGGCAGACCCCAGTATCTATCCAAGCTGGAGGATGAACAGATCAAGAGCAGCTCTGCCAAAAAGGATCTGGGAGTGCTGCTGAATAGGAGGCTGGACATGACCCAGCAATGTGTGCTCACAGCCCAGAAAGCCAACTGTGTACTGGGCTGTATCCAAAGCAGAAGGGCAAGGGAGGGGATTCTACCCATCTCTTCCTCTCTCAAGAGACCCCATCAGCAGTGCTGCATTCAGCTCTGAGGTCCCCAGCTCAGGACAGACATGGACCTGTTGGAGCAAGTCCAGAGGAGGCCACCAAATTGATTCAAGGGATGGAAAACCGCTCCTATGAGGAAAGACTGAGCAAACTGGTTTTTTTCAGCCTGGAAAAGAAAAGGCTTTGGGGTGACCTAACTGTGGTTTTCCAGTACCTGAAGGGAGCCTACAAGAAAAATGGAGAGAGGTTTTTTTTACAAGAGCAGGCAGTAACAGGACAAGAGATTCTTCAAAAGTGGGAGTAGGTTTAGAAAGGTATTAGAAAAAGATTCTTCACTTCAAGTGGGATGAGGCACTGGAACAGGTTGCCCAGAGAAGTTGTAGGTGCCCCATCCCTGGAATTTTTCAAGACCAGACTGGATGGAGCTCTGAGCAACCTGGTCTTGTGGAAGGTGTCCCTACCTACAGCACGAGGGTTGGAACTACATGACCTTTAAGGTCCATTCCAACCCAGTCCATTCTATGATTCTATAAAAGATAAGTAAGTAAGGGGTAGGAAAGAAAATTGCCAAGGTTCTACTGTGCTGTAAGGCAGTATCCTAGGATGGTACAGGGACACAAACTTATCCATCGAGAACAGCAGATGGACTTGGCTGATGGAGAAATTTCATTCTGGATTGTTCTGGCTTTATTCCAGCTCCATCTATACTGGATCTCATCATGTTTTAAAAGGAAAAGTGGTTTCCTTGATCCCAAGAGTATCTAAGCAAATGCTTTTAACATGCCTTGCCAATAAATATAACTGCAACAAAACCACTTTACTGTGATTCACTTGGAATAAATATGTATAGTTCCTGGACAAGAAAAGCAATTGCATGCAGAGAGGGAGTTAATACTTCTGTTCTGAATTCCTCCTTACAACAGTCTCATTTTCATTCTATCTGCACGGCGTACCCCCTTGAGTCCCTCCCGTAAGGTCTCTGTAGTTGATTCAAATATGGCTGATGTGTACCTGAAGCTTAGATTCATTGACACTCTCTGTTACAATTAGAATGAATGCTTTAGAACTGCAATAGAGTGAACTCTGTGGCTTCAGTTAGTGCATTTTCACACGATCCTTTGGAAAAGCTTGCTACTGATGTGCACAAGCTTGTTTGATTAATCAAAAAAGTTCAGTCTCCAGGAACAAGCAGAGGTGAAACAATTACCTTAATTCCTTCAATTCTGAAGCCGAGGTTGGCACTAGAGCTGATGGTTTCTCTCCACTGCATGTAGCGGGGTTTGGTGACAGCATGCTGGGCGTTCTCCTCAGCCGTGGGAGCAAGAGGATCCACTTCAATCATTTTCTTGTACATGTCCTTACGCAGCTTTGGCTTCTCTCGTGCCTTAGTCAACTCTTCCTCCAGGTATGTTCTGCAAACATCACGCCCCAACGCATCGTTAAGGACTTTCCTCAACATTTCTTTTTACAGCTCACAAACTGGCCTCAAGAAACAACAACCAGGAAAATAATCCTTATCATTGCCCCAGTTTTGCATAGGGGGAAACCAAAGTACACAGAGCAAAGACTGTGCAGGCATATTTAGTGAAACAGCCCCAGGAATCAGGAATTCTAATTCACTTCTTGTTCTAACTATACCTTCACTTACTGTTACAAATTATGGTTATTTCCTGGTTACAGAATAGGAGGAAGCTGAATTCCCACTGTGCCATAAAACAGAACTGCATTTCCAGAGGACAGTTAAGAGAGATCACTTATAATGAAATAAAAAAAAACAAATAGGGCTATTGAAGACTTACTGCATTCTCTCTCCTCAAAAAGCTTTAAAACAGCCACGGCTAATTCTTTTAGGCCTCAGAAAGTTTAAGTTTTACTTAATGCATCTCAGTGAAAGAGAGAATCACTGTTCATATAGAAAAAAACTAGAGTAAAGCAGATTATCAGAGTAGTTCCAAACCAGAAAAGGTAACTAAGAACAGGAAGGTGAAGGGACACAAAACTCCCACATTTTGCTCTTATCACTCAATCTGTTAATCCGGTATCCATTAGAAAGGCACTATCCATGTTTTCCACATCCCACTGGATTCCCAGACCTTACACTTTGTCAAGTGCCTGAAGTTTACTTTCTTCATCACAGTGTAACAAACCAGGATGGCATTTAGGAGATTATGTCACTCACTGTCAGAATGTCACCTATTTTCAACCAAATGTGTATTGTTGCAAATCCTTCTCCTATTTCTCCTGAACATACCAGTGCAACATCTTCCTAATTCATTTAAAATTTGGCATCTATTTGAAAAGGCGTATCTGCACTCCTGTAAGTAGAGTAACTAATTTATGACAATAACTCTTGAGCATCTGAGCTGACATCCCAGCTGAAAGATTACTATGACAGCTCATACTTCTCTGTACTGTTACCTTACTCCAGGATCTCAACAAATCTCTGTCTCTTTGTTATGCTTATCATTTTTGATGTTTTCATCTTAATCACAGACAATGAATGGAAAAGAAAGTGAGAACCTGGAGAACAAAGAGATGGCAACACCTCAAGATGTCAGAGCAGGAAAAACCACAGGTCAGTCCTGAGCAAATGGTTGACTCTTTAAAGAAAATATCAGTACCAGCAAAGACTCATTCAAGCATTGGAAATGGGTTTTCACACTGCTATGCAGTCATTTGCATTGGGAGATGGAAATTTTACTTTATGAGGCTTTCTGAATCACTGCATACACAAAGATTCAATGAACTGGCAGTGAATAAATCATGTCATTTTTTCCCATGTATTATCAGGCCACCGCAGAGAAACTTTGTCTTAAATCACCCCTGAACATTTCTTGATGTGGATAGTTTTTGAGGATATACATCAGTTAGTTTCCAGAATCCATGTACAAATTGGCAATAATGGGACATATTGTCCTCAGGTTGTCCAAGGTGACTGTGAGCATGACCACACCTCCCCCTTCCTTCAAATGCAGAGAAAGCACATTCTCTTTCATTCACCCCACCTGATTCCCATCTTGCAGTCCATCACGCTTGGCCCTTCAAAATCAGTGAGCAAGTCATCCAGCTGGATGTAGCTCTCGCCATCTCTCTCCACCACGCCATGGAAGCAAGGGACGCAGGAGCGTAGTGGATCTTTCATCAATCGTTCAAAACACTCCTTTTCATTCTCTGAGAAGCGTTTGAGAATCTTCCCACTATCAGCTGCCTTGAAATTCCCTACAAAAAGAAAATCAAACACTTGCTGACAAGATTGACAAGCAAAAAAGAAAAACCCCTTCCCCCACCATTCCAGTTTCATCTATCTCAGTCTCATAGCAGCAGTTAAAGATTTCCCCCCTGAAGAGAAAAGGTGCTTTCCATAAAAAATAAAACACACAGGACAAGCACTTGTTAGCAGTGAAAGTCCATTTGGATACATTCCCATGTCAGAATATATCGCTTTAAGGAGTGCAGTTGCTTCAGGTCTTTGGACTTTTTTCCACGCTAGTCTTTGCTAGGTTATTAAACAGTACTATATTTACTAAAATGCAGAGGAAGAAGCCACGAGCCAGAATTCATTAATCCTCTGACAGGCTATTTTAAAGCTGCATAACACTGCCAGCACTGGCTTTGTCCTTAATCCTCACACAGGGTATATACACCTGCTGAGCGTGTCCAGACAGAGGCAGCACAGTCAATCAGTGATGCTTAAACAGCCAGAACCAGCCAGAAGCCAAGCACTGCCCCTTCCACACCCACACACTGTGACTGCGCCTGCGTCTGCCCGCAGGTATTGCCTCTCCTCTGGAAACCTGCTTATCTGCTAATGCCCTGCAGGTACAGCCTGGAGGACGACGGTGCTTTTTACAGCCCTGTGTCTGAATGGTATCCAGGACAAATGACATCTGCAGAGGCCACAGTTAGCAGTAATCAGCCTCCACCTGTCCAGAGTTTCCAAATGCTCTCCTATCCTTGCAACCTGCCAACAGCATCTGAGGAAAGTGCATGTTTCATTGAGAGGCACCCTTTAATTTAAACAAAATAAACTGGGCACCAAAGTAGGAGCCTCATTAACCCTGGGGATAACACTCAACCTTTACCACAGCGGGATCCTTCAGCCATTGCAAACTGGTTCTTCTCTGACAAATCCTAGAACAGGCACTGCCTCAGCAAAAGGGCAAGGCTGGTAACAGCCCAGGGTCTAGTTCAGAAACAAACTGTCATATCAGAGAAGAACAGCTGCAGAAAGGATGGAGTAAACCCAACCACAGAACACTGCTAAAAGGAAACTGGAACAGTATCTCTCCTAATCAGCTTCTATTAAACTCTTAACTCTCCTCTTCCACTATACAAGTCTCCAGAAGGGTTATGATTACATGACCAGGGCATCACTCCACACAGATGAAGCCAACTCCACACTTCTGTGACAAAAACTGCATTAAGACTGGGTCATCTTGGTACTTTGTGTGATACAAATCAGACCCAACAACAACACTGTGCAAAATGCAGCTACTCAATTTCTAGGGCTCAGTAAATTTCTCAGCACAGCTTTGAAGTGCTCCATATTAGGGCATCAGCATACACAGAGGTGGTTCACATACTGCATTACAGCACGATGCAGCGTGGGTGCCTGCCCACATGTGTACTAATAAACTCCCACCAGCACTGCACAGGAATTATATGAAGCACGAGACACAAACCCGATGTCTTCTCTTTGTTGTTTTTTTGCCTTACAAATGAAACTAAGCCTCCACTAAGAGCAGACCTACCAATTTTTACAGACACAAGACTAGAATCAACCAACTGAGCTGCTCCTTGCACTCGTACAATGAACAATGACAGACTCACAATGCAAACACATGGTCAGCAAGGCAATTTTCCCATTTGTTTCCCACCCAAGGACGTACATTCAGATGAGGGGTTTGGAGTGGTATTAGAAACATTGTCCTTTCCAGGGCTGAAGCACAACAGGCATGGACAGTAATCCTTCTCCCTAGAGAACTAACTACTGGCTACTTATCCCATACCACAACCAACAGCACCAGACTGATTAGGGCTTTAGCTCCCCAACCTCTTGTTTCCCTCTAACAAGTATTTTACACCTTACAAGCCTGGCCCTTCTCCAGAGTCTGACCATTGCTTCCCTGCTGATCTCATTACTCAGGTATATCACTCCCACTTCCCTATGCACACCACAATTGAAATATGTTTTAGGTCACAGATTTGTGTGATATTGCCTGCTTCCTTTTTACCTGAAGGAAGGAAACAGAGAAAGACTGTTCCTCATGCTGCAGTCATCCTCACCCCAGAGACAAACACACTGAAGGTACCCCTCTCACCTGTATGCCCAGCCAGCTGCACCCATGAGTAGCGTTTCTTGAAGGGGCTGATGACTGGTAAGTTAACCATGGTTTTAATTGTATGCCATGCCTTTTTCTGGAAAAGAAAAGAAATCTTAAGTTGGGCAAAAGCTGAAATCCTGACATGCTACAAATGTATTACATAGCTTCATGCACATTGAATTGCTCTTCACTAACGTGTAAATGCTCCAAGGTGGAACCACAAAACAAACACTATCATCATTGTTGGAAAAATATGCACACAAACCCAAGAATGGACAAATAAAGATAATGCCTTGCCATGCACAAGAAAGCTGCCTATAAGGAGGAAAAAAGAGTCATACTGCACGTCACAGGCCTGTTCTTAGCCACACCTCGCCCTCCGTGTGTGAGTCACACAGTATGTGGACAGCAGATGCTGAACGAACACACACATGCACACATACGCACATTTAAGTTTCCATGAGACATGCACATAAGCTGCTTGTCACTGTCAGCAACATTTCCTTTCCCAGAGAACTTCAGCATCACCTCATGATTAGCAGCTTTCCCCGGGTCAGCAGGTAAATCCTACTGGGACACCTGCATAGAAAGCGCATCTGTAGTCAGACACGCAGCTCACCCAGTCCCTCAGCACCCATTGGCGTGCTGTAGAATCTACTCCAGGTCATGAATTTTCCTACTCCCTCCCCTCTTTCCCAATCCTGTTACTTTTTAACAAAGCTGGGCATTGCTCTGGCAACCTTTGGCTGCAGCTGTCTGGGTACCGCTGCAGGCAGACAGGGAAACAGAACAGCTGCTCACAAAGAGCAGCTGAGTGCTCTGTCACAAAGGCAAGAGGAAAGAAAAAAAGAAAGTAGAAAGTGAAAAAGTCTCATGCTCTGGAACTGAAACCCAGATGGGAGAGAACTACAGCCCACCAACGTTCATGTTACACTTGGAGGGATCCCAAAGTGCTTTACAAACAAGGAGAGCAGGAGCAGTTCTTCTACCACTAGAACACAACACCCTGCTGGAGAAGAAAAATGGAACTGCATTATACTTATGGCATGACAGTTTAGAGCTGAGGGGGTTTTGCTGAGATCAGGTGTAGCTGGGGATCAGGCTGCACTTAGAGAAATGTTTAGCAATGGCCCAATTGGGAATCGCCAAAATCAATGGGAGGTATTAATGTCACTGAAAACAAGTTTAGGTGCTTGCTCATCAACTGGAAAATACACATTCAAAACAACTGTGTCTTCTCTAGGATGGATATGGATCCAAATATTTAGGTGCTTAGGATACCTAATTTTTATTGTCTTCTACTCTAAGTGTAAAACAGAAAATGTGAAATTGCAGGCAATGATACACAGGTAAAATGTTGCTCTCCAGATCACTCTCCGAGCTGGCCACACTTCCCCATACTTATTAACTTACACAACATCTGTTATAAGGTACCCTCCAGCAACACTGGTCACCATGTGAGGGAAAAACCTGCAGTTACCTTAGAATGCATCAAGACCATATATGATCCCACAGACACAAGGATTTTTTTAAAGGAATTTGTCTTCACAAGAAAGTTTTAAGTAATGCTTCGAATTAAACAGACTTAACAATGTAATTGCCACATGAGCATACTTGTTCTGAAATGAGATTGCTTCTATCCATTAAACTTTGGGTTTTAATGGAGTTCAAGCTGAAATTAATTCACTCTTAGTCAGATATGTGCCCCATGCATCAATGACACTTTTGAAAACATATTACGCCAGTGAGAAGAAGCATCCAGAGAAAATCCTGGATGTTTGAGAATTATGAAGACTCAGTTGCACTTACTAAAACTCCACAGATGTTACTAGCTCTAGGTAAACTCTAATTTCATAACTAACTTCTTCATATGCTACATTATTTGGATTTCATATTTCTTAAAATTTGCCTTAAGCTGCTCCAAACTGCAGCCTTGCAGTGCTGAACAGAGACTTGTGTCTATTGCAGACCCAACTGCTGTTCTGTGAGGATGAGAGAGACTCTTGTACACCACCTAAACATGTCCACAGCCTTCTTCTGGAGGAAAGTGCAATGTAAATACTGTTTTTCAAGTAGCAAAGAAATTATTGTTGTGTAGTTCATTTGTGAGATTTCACTGATAGTAGAAGCTCTTCAGGCTACTGTGCTGTTTCTACTTCAGAAGGACAGAGCCTCAAGTTATTTAAACAATAGTTGAAAAAAACCCCCATTGTTATGAAGTAAAATAACCTCTTTGAATGTAGCTCCTGCCAAAGATTTAGTTTTTTAAGATTCCAGACCAGTTTTCAGGGCAACACTAGTTTTTCCCCATCCCTTAATCAGAAGTCAACATTGCTCCACAACTCTGTCACAAAGACCCCCCACACATCCTAATGTTCCTCTCCTGACAAACTGCATCCTGTCTCCCAGTGGCTTGTCACACTGCTACACGCATCAGTAACGAGAAGCACAGATTCTCAACGAATGCACATCAACTGTCAATGCAACATCACACTCCAGTGGCTCTCCTGCCTCCTCCCTCCCACCAAATGCTAAGAAGCTGAAGCTTTTATTTGTACTGTGGGTGTGAAGGAGAAACAATGGGCCAAATTCAGCCCTAGCTCAAGTGGACTTTGGCTGCTTAGATTACGGCTGCCTTGGATAAGGATGTTTAAGCTACTCATCCAATAAATAGACACTGACAATTTTTATTTACCTTTTTTAATTATAAATAATCTCTTCACAAACCTCTCCTCCCCCTCAAGATAAGGAAAGCAGAAGGCTCAAGCTAGGAGGGAAAGGATTGCCTTCAGACCCATCCTGTAGGGAGTGTTGCCATCAGCAGGGGTTCAGCAGTTTCACTTTCCTCTACCTCAATTTCTACTCTCCCAGCTCACTCAACCCAGGGTACAAATTGCCAGGATGCAAGCAGGGCTGCATGCTGGTAGAGCAGTGGTGTGAGTGGGAAGATGAAAACTTTGTGTGCTTGCTGTAGGAGGAATCATTCTCACTTCTATTTCTAAAGCAAGATCTCTTCTTCTTTGTTAGCAACGGCATTATGTGCTTTTCAAATCACTGCTTTATGCTGCAATGGCAAAGAGGGCTTCTACCACTGCCCATCTGTATTTGCAGCCTTATCTCCCTCTGACCCGATTTCTTCTAGATTCCTGCTCAGTATTCCTTGATTTTTTGCTCTGCCTGGGTTTCTCCAGCATTTCACTTCTTCTAGATTCCCACGTGAAACTCAGGTATGTCTGTATTGTATCTGTATTGTATATTGTATTCAGGATAGTCTGAATTGACATCACTGATACTGTTTTATACGCCTCAATATGCTCAAGAATTTTCCAACAGTAAGAAGAAAGGCATTCCAAAAGAGTCAAGAAGCAAACCTGAAAAATATTAACATTCTTTGACTCAGTAATTTACTCAATGTGAACTTTAATTGACACATGATATAAACCCCCCTGAGCAATAAAGAGAGTGGGGCACTAAAGTGGGAAAAGCAAGTTTTCTGCCAATGGGGCAGACCATGTGACAGTCTGTGCCATGGCAAGTGTGCCTCTGGCAGAAAACAGACAAAATTTCAGGGAAGAGAATGGGAGAAGCAACTCACACAATGCAGCCGCAGTACATGCAAAAGAACTGTGGCTTGGTATCTGCTCTGCTACCTGGATTACTCTCTTGACTCACTTTCCTAAATTTGGAGCACAGCTCTGAAGAGGAGCACACATCCATGCAGCAGATGTGGAGACCTGCTCAGTGCATGTGCAGACAAGATGCATAGGTGAGGTATTCCCCAGCTATTCTATCCTGGATAAAGGTGGCTGCTGCCATCGTGTCTATCCATTACGGGAGAGCAAAGAGCAGCAGGAACCGAGCACCACTGGTTTGTGTGAGCACACCTCTCTCCAGGCCTTTTCTCATGGTAAGCATGCAACTTCACACACAACCAGGGTGCAGAAACACAGCCACGACGAGCCTGCACAAATACACCAGAGGACCTGCCTGATGAAAATCCACTGAACTCTCTGGGAGGTATTTCATCCATTTGAAGGAGTTTGGCCTCAGACTCCACTGTTGCCAAGGATAAGAACTACCAGGCTTTCCTGAAACCCTCCCATCACTGCTGGACAAGAGCTGCAACATCCTAATAAGCAAGCTCACTGAAGAGCTTGAACTGGATGGAGCTTTTTTAGTTGCTATTGTTGTTTTACAGGCAGTACAGAACACCTAGCATCTCTCTGAGCATATGCTGAATCCCTCAGGAACAGGAAAGCCACTCTAATTCCTAAAGGCAACAGTGGATAAGGACCTGAACATTCCTCTGCTGTTCTATGGAAAAATAAATAGAATCACTCACTTATTTAAGGGTAAAAATAAAACAACATCTCAGTTCTGTGAAGATCTGAAACATATGTAACCACCCTTAGGCAAGAAATGACAAACAGGTAACATACAAAAGAATTTGTTTCACTTAGGACTTTTCAGCAATTACAATAATTAAAAACCATCAGTCACATCTAAATTAGGAAGCGTTGGGGGAATAAGAAAAACGTTTTCTTCAGAAAAATGAAGTAATTCAGCTTTCATAATTCTAGCATATTACTTGATACTATGAGCTGAAGAACAAAAGAACACTAAAATTCAATATAAATCAACAGGGTTTTTAAAAATATCCATGATTCCATCAGCAGCAGAGTGGAGGTGTAGTTTCTTGCCTGAGCTGGTAAATCATCATGGAAATTCTGCTGGGCTATTGTAAACAATGACCCTTTAATCATTTTACTGGGTAAATTTCAGCCATTTCTTTACCCAAGATTCTGTTGTCTTTTTTTTTTTTTTTTTTGTTTTTGCACACTAGTACAAAGCCTACATAAGAAAGCTATCATGACAGCAAGAAACAAAAGGATCATGAGAAATTTTTTCAGCAATCCCTTTTTTTTCCTAGAAGGCTTTAAGAAAGAGTACTTAATTGTCAGTCATCATAATCTACTGTTCTCTTAAAGTCTTTACATCACTTAGGCTAAATTCTGCCACTCTGGGACACGGGGGCTGAAATCTTATCTGTAATGCTGGTTGCCACTGCCTACTCAGTGTCTCACCAACTCCTAA